ACTGGATGGGCTTTGAGGGCCCTGCCCCCCCAAACCCTTCTGGAACTCTGGGATGGGTTTGAAACCACTGAGCAGTTTGTCCATCAGGGAATCGATTTTCAGAGCCTGGAAACAGAAATCCCAGAGGTTTTTCCCCTCCCTTATTCATTCCCTGAGCCAGCAGAGATTGATATTGGCTGCTCAATCACTCATTCGATTGCAGGGCTGAGATTAAACTGGGACCAGCAGAGTTTCTGCAGCAGGAGGTGGAGGGTGGCCAGAAAGGGCATCACTGGAAGCATTTCTGGTCCAGCACACTCAGCTCTGACTCAGACCTGTCCTTAGGACTGCAGCCAGAAGCTCACCTAATTAACGAGAGGAGCTTAATGAGTCCTCAAGAAAAAAAACCCCCAGGTTTTTGGCTGAGGCTCTGTGGCTCCATCGGGGGCTCTGGGTGGTGCTGGAGATCCACCACAGCTTTGGAGCACCAGGAGCAGCCCCAGCAGAGCAAGGAAAACCTTCCATTCCCAGGAATCACAGATAATTGAGGGTTTTCCTCCCTGGTGACAGGGTTTGTCACCACTCAAAGGCCTCCTGGCTGCACCCACCTTGTTCTCAAAGATGATTTCGATGAACAGCAGCAGCAGCTCTGTGAGGAAGATCACCAGGAGGACCCAGAAGAACTGAAATGAGGAAAGGAAGGATTAGCCCAGCTCTGTGTCCAGATGTGCCATCAGGACACCTGAGAGTTGCCCTGAAACACTTGGAAATCAGATCATTTCATTACCTGCTCTCCAGGGACCTGCAAATCTCCTCCAAAGATCTCGGTCTTAACAAGGAAAGGTGTTTGTTCCCTTCAAGAAAGGAAGGAAGGGTGGAAGAAGCCAGGTGGCCAAATTCTGTGTGGGAAAAGAGGCCAAATGGGAGCAGTGGGAGCAAATGCTATCCCTGGGTAGGCCCAGGTGTGTGGTGGGAGGGTTGGACATGAAGCTTCCAAGCTGGACATCCAGTGGAGGATCTTGCATCCCACAGAATCCAGGCAATAACTCCTGTGGCAACAAATTTAGGCTGGGAATCAACATCCTGGTGGAGCAAACGACTTAAACCAGGAGGTTTGACGCTCTTGCAGCCCTCACAAATCAGTCTCCTTTGGTCCCTCTCTGAGAGGTCCCATCCAGCTTCAAATCCCACTTTGGAAGAGTGAAAACAAAGCTCTGCTCAGCTCCCACTTGTCTCCCCAAGGTTCCCTCTCCCAGCTCTTCTTCACCCAGAAAACCACCTGAATGGAGCATCCAAACCCTCCTGGACAGAGCAGAAAACATCCCTTTTTTTGCTTTCCCAAGCACTGCAGGAATTGCAATTTTGGAGCCTCAAGAGAAAAAGGAAGGTGAAAAAAAAGTTGTTAAAAAAAGGGGAGGATGGGGTCAGGGGGAGAGAGAATTTATTACCACAATATTAACTTGGACTGTTGGTTTATTAGAGTTTACAAAGTCAGGGAGCCAAAATTTAACCTCCAAAGCTCAGCAAAACAAAAATGCTGCAGCAGCCAAACACCATTTCATGCCCCAAACCCCAAATCATTGGGGTTTTAATTACCCACCCACTGATGAGTCCTCAGAGCCACCAGACAGGTCCCACTGGGGGAGCAGCTCCACCTCCATCCCCACCAAAATCAGCTCCTAACAGGCCAGGGGTCATTAGGCAAAGGAACCCCTAATTAAGGAGATAATTAAGGTGTTATCTCAGTGGCAGAGTTGAGATGCAAATCATCTCAATTCCTATTAAATGCATTTAAACTCCTATTAAGTGGGGTTTTTGGAGGCTGCCCAAGGCTCTGGATCCCCCAGTGCTGCAGCAAGAGAGACAAATTCAATTTTGGAAATATTTTTGTCCTTCAACCTTTGAACCCAAGCAAATAATTAAATCTGAGTTTTTGTGCTGGTTTTCCCAGGAAAATTCCAGCTCTTCCCAATCCCACTGTGACAAAGGATTGAGGCTGCAAACTCTGATGTGTTTGGTGTCCATCATGACATTCACAGGTAGGAAAACTCACCTTTTCCAAAAGAAAAAGCCCAAAAAAGAGCTCAACTCATGGTCCTTGTAAAACCTTATAAAAGGCCAATGTTAATTGGGAAGAAAGACTGGAATTCCTTACAAAAGGGAGACAGAAAATGTGGGATGTCACACAAATTATTCCCAGTTCCCCTTGGACACCCCACAGTTTGTAACCTCACCTTCAGAAATCCACATAATTATAATAAAATATTCACATAATAATATATAATATAATATTTCAATATATTGTCAGAACAATATTATTGTAGTAACATATAATGTAATAAATAAAATATAATAAAGAATATATTATAGGAAGATATACGTATATATACATATATGTCATCTGTAATTTATTATTAATATATTATATAATACATAAGAATAACATAATATATATTATGTTATTCTCATATATAATATATATCATGTTATTCTCTTATATAAGATACCTAACATATTATGTTAGTCTCTTACTTATTATATATATGTTAGTCTCTCATATATCATATATAATACATATCATGTTATTCTCCTATATAGGATATATAATATGTATAATGTTAGTCTCATATATTATATAATATATTAATAATAAATTATCATACTACATATACTAGAATAATATATCTTAATATAACATATTCTTTATTCTATTTTATTTATTACATTGTTATATTGTGTATTATAATATAATATCCACATATTTATAATTCAGAGAGGAACTGCAAGCAAAGCAGCCCCAAATCCAGGTCTCCAGCACAAGCCTAAAACAAGTGAAGACTGAGTCAAATCCAGCTCTCCTTCACCAAAAAAGTCCTCCAAGTGGACCATCCAAACCCTTTCTGGCTGCATGGACAGAGTGGAAAGGGGATTTTTTTTGCACTCTGAAGGACTGCAGCAGCCACAGTCCCTGCAATGCACATTTGGGAATGGAACTCTTGGCAACATCCCCGATAATATTCCCTTTTCCCTGGACACTGCAACCCTTGGTGTTTGCCAGGGCCAAAAAAAATCAGCATTTTTAATCTTAAAACAGCCTCCAGCAGCAAAATAAAGAGCAAAAACCCCCATTAAACAGCATTTCATCCTGCCCAGAGCTGCCCTAAGTTTGAGGCAAGTTGGGAATCATAAATCAACTAAAAAAATAATAATCAGGACAAAAGATGATGTTCCTTCTCCCCCCCAGTTTTTGCACAAATTCACCCTCTTCATGGAAGTACCACTTAAATGGGTGGCCTTGTCTCCATTTAGGGTTCACTTCTCCCTTCCCTGAGAGGGGATGAGAAGGAGGGGTTGGGAAGGTCCCTGAGGATTCCATCCCTCCCAAAGCACAAACCAAAGCCCAGATTTCAGGGAGGGAACTCCTCGACCAAACCTCGATCTCACCCAAGGTGCTGGAGCAGCAAAAAGCTGCTTCGTTCTTATTAAAATTAAAGCTCAATTCTTATTAAATTATCAGTGGACACAGCCAGGTCGATCTGAAGAGCTCATCAATCCAACATTCCTAATCAATTATGCTGCTTGATTCCCAGAGATACCTTGGCAATGGATGGATCACCCCAGTTCCTTGCAGAGCCCTGAGCTGCCCCTTCCCTCCTCTAAGGAGCCTCCAGCGAGGTTTTGATCATCCTTAGTCCCTCCCAAAGCCCAGCTGAGCAAACCTGTGCTCTGCCTCAGGCTTCAAGACAGGCCTCCTTCAAATTTTGGGAATAACCTGCCTGGAGTGATCCCTTCCCACGTGTGCCCTGCCTGGTGGGATTCCTGCCACCTCCCTGCTCCAGAGAGGAAGTTTTTGATGGCAAATTTCCCCCCAGGAGCTTAAAAGCCACCTGGAATGCTGAGCTGGTCCCTCAGGTTTCACCTCCCAGAGGACAAAAACCCCCTGGAATACCGAGATGATCCCAAGGAAATGTTTCCAGCTGCAGGTCTGGCTGCCAGGGGTGAAAACCTGCTGCTGCTTCATTCCCAGGGGATGAGCAGCCCCCTCCAATTCCCGGTTGGAACACGTCCTGTCCAGCAGGAAGGATGAACAGGGAGCAGGGACGGATGGGAGCAATGAGGGGTGAATAAACCACCCTGGGATTTATTCAGGAATCAGCCCAGGAAAGGAGATTTGAGCTCAGTCCTGAGCTCAGAGACACTGGAGACCCCCCATGCCAAGTGTGACTCCAGTGGGATTTTGGGTGGGAGAGGGATGAGCTGTTTGCCAGAAAACAGGCAAGGAAGAAGGAGATTTGAGGTGAAAAAGGGCAGATTTACTGGATATTGGGAAGGAACTGCTCCCTGTGAGGTGGGGAGGGGCTGGGATGGAATTCCCAGAGAAGCTGTGGCTGCCCCAGCCCTGGAAGTGTCCAAGGCCAGGTTGGAGCACCCTGGGACAGTGGGAGATGTTCCTGCCCATGAGATTGGAACGAGATAATCCTTAAGGTCTCTTCCAGCCCAAACCACTCCCTGGTTCTGTGTTTCTATGAAATGCAGGCCTGGCCTTGGTGGGCAGGAGGGGCTTGGAGCACATTCCCTGAATAAAATAATGTGGGTTTTCTGGATAAAAGTGTCCTGGGCACAGGGTGTTGTTGCTGTGCTGCTCAAACAGGAGCTGCTCTGCCAAGTCTCTTCATCTGGGCTTTGTTGTCCTCGTTTTATCTGTGGAGGAGACATCCCTGACAGATTTTAGGGTTTTTTTTTTTCTTGCTTCAAAGCAGTTCTGAGAGCTGGTTCTCAGTGGGAATAAACAATGATTTGGGGTTTTCAGAGAAAACAGCCTCTGAGCAGCAAAGCAAAGGCTGAGGAAGGGCCACGTGACATCAGGGAGAGATGGTGCCTTAAAAACATCATTTAAAGTTTCAGTTTTGCGGGGAAAAGAATCTGGATTCGCGTTTCTGGGAGGCAGAAAAGATGATTTAGTGGCCTCCCAGGTGGAGTGAAAGATTTATTTATCACACACCTCAGCATTCAGAGGCTGCACGTTCCATGTGTTCCCATTTATGCAGAGGGAACAACCAGTTCCAAAACACAGGACAAAACCTGGGGGCTGCTGCCCTATAAACTCAAAAAAAACCCAGGGGGATTTGTGCTTTGGAGGAAGAGAAACTAAATTCAACAAGTTTCTTTTGATCTGGAGGATGGGAAGTCCAGATTTTCCACCCCTTGGGGACCTGTCCCTACTTTTATATTTGTGGGACAAACCCTTTTCTTGCAGTGGGACTGACCTGGCCCCTTTGCTGGGGAAGTGACAATGGAAATGCAGCCCCAAAAGATTAACTCTTTTAAACTATTCAGTTAACTCTTTCAAACTATTCAGTTAACTCTTTCAAACTATTCAGTTAACTCTTTCAAACTATTCAGTTAACTCTTTCAAACTAT